GGGGGGACATACCGCAAAAAAGCTAGGCTGCAGACATAGTTCATTGGATGAGTTATTAAGATCTGACACACACCTGCTAGTCAAGTATACAGTGAAAAATGCTCATCTTATCGCCAATATCGCCTTATAAACTGGCAAAGGAAGAACGCACCCCCCCCCCTCCCCCCACTTTCCTGCTTTAATTGCATTTCAATCGTTTGCTGATCTCAATCTTGATCGAATTCCTTGCTGAATCATATTACTCAATCCTTAAATCACATTCGATGTCTATTATTTGCCAAATGGCTGCATTCAGTGCCTTTTCGACCTCGCCTTCGGTGATTCCATGGTTCTTGGGTGTTCACTCGCTACCTAGTTAATACCTCAACGTTACCTCCATCTCAGATGACACTTATACTCAATTAGCCCATTTGAAAGCAAACACCAAGTGGAAGATGATGATTAATTACCAAATTATTTGCATATTCAAGCACCTAAGATTGCAGTTTGCATCGATTTATTAACTGAAGGAACCTGTAAGGGGAGACCGTACTCTACGCATCCTTGTTGCCAACAGTCAATTTTCTGTAATGAATTATAAATACAATAGTTAGCATGCTTCATCTAAACAGAGAATTCCGACAATGGGCACCAGATCGAAAGCGGTCAGCTTTGTAGTGTCTGTACATGGTTTAGTTTCACAAATATCCGAATTTGACTTTGGTGAGAGGACAATACGTGGTGTAGAATTATCGAAGGTACTGTTCTTCCGGGTTTCAATCTCATCAGATTCCGATTTCATAGAATCGTTGGTGAATACTTCATCAACATCAGTGCCGCTGTCTACCGATTCCTGGTTGCATCTAAAAAGTTGATGATGTCGCTTTACCGAGTTGCACTTATAATGAGAGCTTTAAGTGACAATTTACCTATACTGATTTCTTCCGTTATTATCGTCTGAAATTGAGCTGATATTAATCACCCCTTGGATAATCCGACTTCCGGACAAATCACTCATCTTATGCTTTCCATTGTCCCTCATAATGGAAGATGAAGCACTACTTGCTATTGAAATAGAGGAGAGATTTAAGTTAGTCTCATCATCCAAATTAGTTGTTGTTGTCGAGGAAGTCGTAAGTCGATAATCGTCAACACGACATTGGAGGGTGTTTTTCTGATAGGAGCTTGACAATGGTCTATTTGGAGTGTCCTCAAGTCGCGAATGTGAGCGATTGATTATCCAGCGAAGTTTGCTTGTTGTCGCAGTCCTTGGAAAGGGTGCTCTTTGACGATTCAAAGTAGTTTTTATTGGTGTATCCTCGGGTTGAGTATGTACACCGCTATCACTATCTGATTTGCCTATCAGTAACCTAGTAGGACGAGGAATAACATTCTGTGCTTGAGAATTGCTGCTATTACTGCTAATTGTTGAAGTACGCGTATGTAGGTGCGTCTCACCATGCCTATTGAAAAGAAATGCGTGATTTTTAAATTGAAGGAAGAATTTCACTGCGTTTGTAAAACATCAGTGACATTTGAAGTACATAATTCCGTGTTGTCCCTCTCCCCCCTCCAAGTTGCTCTAGAGAACCATCTTGTGCTCTATTTTAATTAGCGGAATTAACCACTTAAGTGATTTTCGAATCGATGTCACTAGGATTAATTCTGCACCCCTCCCCCCATTATGCGAACACAGATACTTGTCATTTTCTTCTAGTATGGAACCTATTCTTCTTCAGAATTCATCTTTGTTCGAACCCATCCCCCGCCACCCCCCCGCACACCTGTCNTCCCCCCCCCCCCCCCCCCCCCCCCAACTCTCAGTACTCCCGTCCACGGTCATATTTTAATCGCTGTTGCCATAACAAAAGTATGAATTCGGGTAACAGGCTCATAGAAGGCAACTTCGTTTAAGAATATTAGGGTCGAAATTTCAACCATCTTTTGGACACCCATTGGTATGCGTGCAGGCATGAATGTATATCGGATTAGCAATATTTGTAGGCCAATGGGTATGTGAATCCTGGTCGCAGGGGTTATGATGTTTACTTCCCCCTCCCCCCTCTCCTACCCCCACCCACCC